AGATGTAGAAATTTTGAATTGTTCAAGTTGACGGGTTTGTAAACAACTTGGCTTATATTTACTTGTTTAATTGTTGACACTGCCAAAACACTTTACTAAAAAAACAGAAAGTTATAAAAACAGAAACTGCAGTTCTCAGAAGTAATTATAAGTTTTTGAATTCTTTCTTAATTCTATGTTTGAAGAATTCGACATAGGACTCTATCAACTCTAGTAAACATTTATTATTTACCCTAAATTTTCATGCTTAGCACTAAAATCAATGTTAAAACATAATGAAACTAGATTAAAAAAGTGCCTAAGTTTATAGTTTGCATTTAATAATAGGAAGTCTACATAAATTGATTTTTTTAGTCTTATATTATTTATAAAATAGATTTTATTTCAGTGATTCTCTTTTTCAGAGAATAAAACACATAAAAGTAGAATATTAAAAATTTGAGGAATTCAAATATGTATTAGTTTCTGTAAATATATCAAACTCCATTATTCAAACAAAAGTACACTTATATAAATCAAGAAAATGAACTATAAATTATGTAATTAGATAAATCTTTGTTAGTCCAAGAAGCAACAAATAATTCTAAGTTTCTTGTTGTATCATAGACTAAAGTAATTTTTAAAAACATAGTAACAGTTAAAACATACAGAGAAGCACATGGCACTCTGCCTTTTGGCTTTTTTTAGAAGGAGGGGTGTTCGTTATGGTGTTTTGTTTAAACTAGAGAAGAATCTCAGTAAACCCTATAAATTAAGGCAGAACAAAATAATATATATGCCAAATGCTCAAGAAATTAAAAGCATGTAGGAATAAAGGATTGTAATTTTTAAAATTTTTAAAATAGGGTAAAGTCTCATTGGTGGTATTAGAGAAAACATTACTCCAACCTAAAAACTATAATTATGAACACATCAAAAATAATAGTTCAGATAGGATATTTTAGAAACCATGGATTGATACAGAAATCTCTTGAGAGTATTAATGAGGAGCTTTACAACTTGATTTATAAATTCTAAGGAGAAATTATCACCTTTTCTACTAGAAATAAAACCACCATAAATATTTATCTGCTTCACAATAACATAATTTTGGAGAAACTGTTATAGTTTCATAATTCTACTTCTCTAAGCATTTGGTACTTTCTCACTCTAGAACAGTATTAGAGGATCTCTCACATTATTACACTTTATAAATATTTACTTACTTGTTGAGTCACTCATTGTAACCAGATATATACTTAAATATGCAAAAATAAAGAAAATAAAAGGAAAATAATCATCACTGTCTATATACATAAATAAAAACATGTATGTAATAATTCACATGCAATCTGATGAAAGACTTCATACTACAAAAGATTTATTTTATTAGATCCAAAGGTTTCTAAAATTTTATGTAGTAACTACTTAATGAAAAATGATTTGTAAATTTCAAAACACTGAAATTCATCAATGCACCATCCTAAGTAGGGAGAAATACTACATAGAATAAATGAAGAGACTTCAAAAATTTATGGAAAAATGGAATTAAAAGAATGCTATTTTGGTGAAAAGTAAATTTTGAAATCTATGTACAGTTTTTTTTTTCTTTTATTATACTTATTTATTTGGTAAAGATTTTGTTTTAAAGTATTGCGTTGTTGGAAAATTCATGACATATTTCTTTTTTTTTTGGAGAGGTTTTTCTTTTCTTTAAATTTTTTAAATTTCATTTTCTTTTATATATTCAATCACATTATTTGGCTTACAAAATGGGTATTTCAACAGGTGAACATTTCTCCCTAGTATAGTTGATAAAACTATAAATTATCTTCAACAGATAATAGCACATTTCTTTGTCCCATTAATGCTTTGCCTCCCTATTTTTTCTTCTAAATGTCCTTCCTCAGACCCTCTCTTTCACACACCGTATCTGGTAGGCCTATTCTATGAACTTTTAGAAGACCTCCCCCATAAGTTAATAGGATTCAAACCCTATCAATCGTTTGGGGAAGTTACTTTCAAAGTAGCAATGCAGGATAAACATAAATAATACATTGTTAGCATATGTATAATAGGACCAATAAACAACTGGATAACAAAAGTAAAATCCTAGATGATTTCCACTGGGATTATGTGAAATTATTAAAAAGTATGATTTAGTAACAGAGAACTGAGCAACTGAGTTTATATCTATTATTTAACTGAAGGTAAAAATAAAAAATACATCATTGATAAGGTATGAACCATGATAATTCTGTTTGAAACTGGAAGCATTCAGGACTTTTATTCTAAAGTCTGTCATCTTGGATCCTTTTTTCAAGGAATTCAATGTGATGTTAAAAGATGTGTCATAACTTGGATTTCAGACTTTAGTGCTTTGGAAATATGTTTATATAGCTCATAATGTAATTACAGCTACCTTAAGACAGATAAGGAAAATGGTAGCAATACATTGGAAATATAATTGAAAAATGCAGTGGTCCAGAAGCACTTGTGGGGATGATGTCTCTGAAAAGCTGCTCAGAGCTTCAGAGTTTGAAGTTAAATTTTTGATGTTGTCACTCTCAATCTATTGAACGGCTGACAGACAATCAAACCCGTCTGGCTGGCTGGCAGCTCATTTTGCTGGCAGGTGGCAAACAATTAGACACACCAATTTGTGCCTCCTGATGACATTAAAGCATGAAACTAAGTTGTATGCAGGGCCTAGTGATTTGTGTGAAAGCATTTCAAAAATAATACTCTTTGCCGTGGCAACTCATTTCAGACTGCCACCTCCCATTATGGCTTTGAGCAGTGAAGACGACAGACTTGAGTTACGTGCAGTGCAAGGCCGCTTCTGTTCAATCCGTCATCAACGCCCCCTGAGACCTCAATCCCCTCCTTTCATCAATATCACCTCATCATTTACATTTGATAGTACTTGAGCTACTGCATATATTAACTACACTGGAGACCCTTTCCTAAAAAAGAATTGAAATATGCTTTGTGCTCTTCCATTTAATTTTTACTTATGCAATTTATAATAATGATTCCACTCCCATTGCATTTTGCATAAATGCTACCAGAACAAATGGGAAGTTCTATTTTTTTAAAGCAATAGTCTCAAAACTGTAATAAATTTTGAGTTAGCTAAGAATATTGGCACTCAGGTGATTGCTTTGTTAAATTTTAATTAAAAAATTAATCTAACAATAATACAAATTAATACAAAAATATTTTACTTTAATATTTAACTGGATTTACTCATGCAAATTACAAATCGTGTATCAGTTGGTTTGCATTTTAACAAAATTTAAAGTTATAATTTAAAATTAAACAGAACACAGAACATTAATGACTCTATTAAATTACTGTACCAATCATTTATAGTTATAGATTCATATATTTACATAAATACATGTACTTACATGCATCTATTTATACAAAGACACACAAATATATACACATATGTCCTAGGAACATAAACCAAATATGTAAAAATAGAAGGCATCAATGTAAAATGGCATAAGGAATACCTAAGGAACATTCCCTACATGGATAAGCATCAAAATATAATATTAACATGAACTATAAAAAAGGAAAAATATTTTCCTATATTCTATAGTCCCACTTTTTTTCCTTTTTTTAAAACTTTTGACACACATATTTTATCTTTTATGACAGTTACTTGCAAATAGTCCATCTCCTTACTATTCTGAAAATTCACAGAAGGCAAAACTGATTTTATTATTTTTATATCCTATATAGCTAGTACCATTATATTTCATTATATTTCATAACAAATTTTCAATGATCTCTGTAAAACATCAGTTAAAAGATTTATAAGGCAAATTTTAAGTTATATTTGAGAATAAACAGTATTATCTATCCTAACTGAAATGACTTTATTGCCACTGCTCTACTGTTCAATTCTAAAAAATTACTATCTCTAGTTGGAAAAAAGCACTTTGGCTATTTTCAAGAAAGCATTATGTAATAGAAACTAGATTTTGACTATTTATTTATTTGGACATTCCTGTTTAATTTCCTCAATTGATGTTGTCTCTCTAAAAAGACTTGCTCATCACCTCAAACATATATAATTTTTGTTATGAAAAAGTATATCAAACATCAATCACAATGATTTAATTCAAATGGTGAACAAACATGCTCTTTAGTTTACATGTTAACATGTAAATATAATCTCAGTGGTCCAAGTTAAGTACTAACGCTAGTAATTAGTGACTATGTAAAATATTTTTTTAATACTGCACTTTTTTAATAATAGGATATATACATGCAAAGATTCTTTGGTTCTAAAATATTTTATTCTGCTTGTGTGTGCTATCATTTATATCACATGTAAACAAAAATAGTAAGAATTGTTCCTAAAAAATTTCTTGTATGATTTAATGTTTGAATAATGATATATGGGCCATATTGTAAGTAATTTATATACCTAAAATGTCAAAAATGCCTTTCAATGATATTTATTTTCAATGCATACCTCAAAAATATGACTTTTACATTGACAAAGAAAATCCAATAAAGATAATGATCAAAACTTTTCCCCTAAAACTTATACTTAAAATTCAAATTGAAATTTTATTTATTAAAGTAAACTATTTCATCTCCACCAAGTATTACAGTATTTTATAAGAAATTTTACATTCAGAATAGACCTTAGAGAGATTTGGCTTATCCTCTTCTCAATTTTATATATGAAATCATGAATTTAAAGAGAAAAAATGACTTTGTCATATAGTCCCTTGATGATGGAATATATGGAGGATCCAGATTTCCTTATTTCCAGTTCTATGTGTCATTTGTCATATCCTACTGAAACCCCTTTACATGATGTCCTACTCAAATGTCTTATTATGATATCAATCAGGATGGCCTGCTACTTTGATATCCTTTAGAATAAGAAACTTCATTAATAAAAGTATCTGAATCCCACCAAATATTTTTAGATCAACAAACTTTAATTTTCCTGTTATATCTGAAGCACTGTAAATAATAAGTTCAGTACCTACCTGTCAAAGGAATGAAACTGCATAGGAAGAATAGCTTGCGCTTCTCTTTTCAGTGCTGGATCTGGGTATGGGATAGGTTCAGGGCCACATTCTGCAATTTCAACTGGGGCAGCCACAAGACTTTTCAATATTTCCTTGACATTGATGCCTTTGGTTTGACTAATACTAGATATGGATGGTGCCGGCTTTAATATTTCATTTGGATGTTCAGTTAAGCTCTCCTGTGATTTCTTCACTTCCGATGACAAAGTGGATAAGAGTTCACTCATGGCATCAGGACCTGTACTAGTCTCTAATTCTGCCCCATTAAGGATGCTAGCCACTTGTTCCTCTCCAATTCCTGAATCTGTATGAGGAATTGTACTTTCTATCTGAATATCTTCACCAGGTGTTGGGGTTTCTTTTTCCTTTACACTCTCTGGAAATGCAGCAGGTGTTTCTGTAATGAAAAGAAACTGGTTTAATTTAAAACGTTCACAAGTAAAAACTTGGTATTACTTATAAGCTATTTTCACATATTAAATACAACCTTTAAATAACTTTAGTAAACAAAATATTTACTAAATGGATGTGCATAAAAACAAAATTCAGTTAAAACATATTATCCATATACACATGTCATTTTGCTCAGAAAGCATCAAAATAACCCTGTTTCTTTTGGAAATCATGTACCTTCTCAAAATCAATGCTTTTAAATCATCAGAAAATAGTTCCCATAACAATTTCATAAAACAACTTACTTATAAACAATCATTATGTAAAAATTTTGTGTTTTATTCTTTCATTATTAGCTATCAATCATACTGAGAAATTCTTATGCTTCTCTAATTATTTTTTGAAAAAAAGCTATATTTATACCTTATTTTGTATGTCAATAACTAATAATAAAATGTCTGAATATTTAAACTAATTGAATATTTATTTTTAAATTATATATATAAAATATATAAAATTCTGAAGAAATTTCAAACTATCAAGCATAGCAAATGATTAGTTCAAAAGGATAAATATTTTGATAAAGAATAATGCTCTAGGACATAGCTTATGTTTCTTTTTTAAAAACAATTATTTAATTTTATTTATCATTACTATTATTTTTTTAATTTTCTAGGGCACATGTCCTCACCAGAGAGAGACAGAAACAGAGAGAGAGAGAGAGAGAGAAAGCAAGTCATTGGAGACTGAAACTGTGGTCAACCATGTGGTCCACCATGCCACCTGATGTCCCTGCTTACATAATTCTTTAAGAACTACTGGTTTGGAATGTTCATACTCATTCTTTGTGAATAAATGTTGATTTGTAAAATATTAATCAGAAACCGAGACCAGCAGTTAGCATAATGGCTATGTCACTGGACTCCCATATAGTCAACCGCGGTTCGCATCCTGGACCCAGTGACTTAAAACTCATGCTGGGGGCGTTTGCATGCATGCCCAAGATCCTGAGAGGAGAATGGAGGAGAAGGGATTGCGGTGTGGCCATCCCCCCTGGGGGGTGATTTCTTGCTTTCTGTCTCTCTCTGTCTGGCCATTGCACGCACCCTGTAGCAAAAACCTCTCCAGAAAAAAACACTTAATCAGAAACCTATATATGTATATATACCTAAATAGATATGAATTATACATGTAATACAATAGCAAAAAATTACAAGAGTTGAATAGATATGAATTATACATGTAATACAATAGTAAAAATTACAAGAGTTGAAATAAATCTCTAAAGATATTAAACTTTTAGTTTATTTATTTATTTTTCTTTTAATGTGATCAGAGAGGGAGAGAGTAAGAGAGAAAACAAGACAGAGAGACAAAGTGAGAAAACAAGTCACCAGGCATGTCCAGGACTTGATCTACGTGTGGTTGGCCATGTGGAAGTCTGGCTCCCTTAACCACCTTACCACCTGCTGGCTCCTAAAGATATTCAATTTTACACAAAGGTTAATATAATGAAAGTTCATGTAATAAAATGTTGCGATATTCTATGGCCTGCAAGTGACATGGTTATTAAGGTACTTGACTCCCACATGGCTGACAGCTGATAGAGTCTGGGACATAATGGTTTGGAAAATCATGCTGGGCCCATGTGTGTGCCCAACATAGCTTGGAAAATGGAGGAGAAGGGATTATCGCATGGCCATTCCCTTCTGGAGGTGATTTTTCACTTTCCTTCTAACTCTCCATATTTGGCATGTGCACACACGCTATGGAAAAACCTTAAAAAAATAAAGTTGCCAAATTCTAAATAATGACCTTGGAAGTTGAATCTAAATAAGATGAGGATAGTAATTATTTTTGACATCATATTGAAGAAGAAAACAAAATACTATATGTAAATTATCTTGTTTCCACATAAAATATATGCTTAATATATATTAGCTACTTGGTTTGTATTTAAGTTTATCTTTTGTAAAAAAAAATAAGGGCAGACTAAATTATTTCTAGGATCTTTTCAAAATTGTTGACAACTATAAATTCTATAAAACATCCCATAGACTTTGTTGCTGTTTGTTTTTTTGTTTCTTTGTTGTAAAAGAATATTAGTAAAAGACCAGCAGATGGCATAACCATTACATCACTGGACTCCCACATAGTCGACCATGGTTCAAGTCCTGGACCCAGTGACTTAAAACTCACACCAGACACATGTGCGTGTGTGCCCAAGATCCCAAGTGGATAATAGAGGAGAACAGACTGCAACCTGGCCAGCCCCCCTGAGGAGTGATTTCTCACTTTCTATCTCTCTATGTGTCTGTCATCTGGCGAACACATGTGCCCTCTAACAAAAGTCTTTTTCTATTAAAAAAAAAAATTAGTACAAGAAAGCAGAATTCCCAAAAGGACATGTGTTAAATATGCTGTTAAAACACAGAGAAACGCTGTTTTGATGCTCACATCAGTGGCTAGCTGCTAAAAATTGTGTATACTTGTAGGGACTAAAAATAAGGTAAGTGATTTCCTCAGTAACGGACTCAATTATTAGGCTGTATTAGACAGTTTTTCTTAATCTCTTGAATGTAGATTAAAGCATGGCATTAAATTTCACTAAAGATGTGAATTTACTAATTTTTACAGATTAATTTCAGAACAATTTTGCCCTTTTTTTTTGAGAGACAGATTTTTGCTATGGGGTGCTTGTACTCTCTAGAGAGACAGAAAGAGATTGAGAGACAGAAAGAGAGAAATCACTCCCCAGGGAGATGACCATGCCATAATCCCTTCTATTCTATTATCCTCTTGGATTTGGGGCATGCATATCACACGCAAGGCGTGAGTTTCAAGCTACAGTTCTGGGACTTGAATTGCAATTGGCCATGTGGGAGCCCAGTAACATAACCACTATGCCAACTGCTGGTCCCAATTTTGCTATGTTTTTCAGGGGAAAAAAACTCCTTTTAATATCTCCATATTTTCCTTCAATCCTTTTTCTTTTTATTCAAATTACATTAACTCTATATGTAAATGTAGGAATAAATAACATTTTTATATTATCTAATTTTTCAATATCCAGTATTCATTTAAATTGACAAAAGGCACTCATCTCACAAAGCAATGTTATATCATAGTTTTCCTAATATTTATTTAATAGGTTTTATTTTGCTTATCTATTTGTTATTCAGGTCAAGGATGTTAGAACTGAAAGAAGCAAAGTTTAATCTGTGAAACTGGATAATATTTAAATATTTTACAGGGTACATGCTCTATAGCAAAAAACTTCTCCAAAAAAACCTTTTTTATATATTTTGTTTCTGTGTTTGCAGTCTTTGTCCTATTCTCACAGAAATATCTGGTGGTTTCTGATTCTCTCTAATTTTACCTGCAGTGGTTTCCTTTCAAAAAGATATAATCTGTGTATCCAAAGGTGTGTTAGAATACATTGAGTAGTATCTTTAATAGTAGAAATAACAGCCCTGACAGCCACCTTATCTTTTCATTCCATATCCCTAGGTTATTTCATTACCTTCCAAAGTTTCAACTTTCGCCTCAGTTTGAATGATCTCCAAATGCATGACTATTCTGAAGACCTATGGAAATAAATATTCCAGGGCCCCTCCAGACTCAATTAATTCTAATTTAATTAATTATTTACCTGAACTTATCTCTTTGTTTCTCTGTTAGTGGCATATCACCATTGTTTGTCTTTTAAGCTACCTAGGTAGCTATTCCAGAAACGTCTTGATTCTTTATCTCTCTTTATTATCCCTAATGCTGTTATTCTAAATAAAGTCTCACAAGGTTTTGTAAAAAATAATCCCAACCTCTAATTTTGCCCTTAATGACACATGTTGGGAACACCACAGGGAGACTGGATCTTTGCAGCATGAGCTGCCCACTTTCCTTGCTTTGTGCATTGCAATAAAACTGTACTTTGCTTCGTTTTAAAAAAAAAAGTGAAAATATTGTCTTTACCTCTTACCTCTTTCCTTTCCTTTCCTTCTCCAGTGCTTGCTGACTAGTATTAGTGAGTCTTTCTAGTATCATTGAGTCTTCTAAAAACGTTCATGCACTTATTTTAACTTTTAATCTTCAAAACAATAATGAATATATCCACTCTCTTTTGCACATTGGTTATTAATTAAACATCTCCCTGGGGGGGGTGATTTCTCACTGTCTATCTGTCTCTATCTGTCTCTCCAGCAAGCGCACCGGCCCTATAGCAAAAATCTTTCTTAAAAAATGTAAAATTTATAACTACATACTTAAAACTCCAATATAAATGTTGACTTCTCAATTGTAAAGCATAATTCAAAGTTTATTAAAATTAGATATTAGAATATTTCAAATAGGAGAAGAAACACCTTCATGGCTCCTGCGAACTAGTGATTACAGGGAAAAAAGAGACATGAAGATTTTCTACAGATTATTCAACCTCTAGCCCACAAACTTGAGTGGAGAGGCAAGGGGCAGACCTTCAAAAGAAGAAACCTTAATGGCTCCTGAGAACTAGTGATTTTAGGGAAAAAAGAGAAATGAAGATTTTTCTAAAGGTAATTCAGCCTCCAGACCACAAATTTGATTGGGATCAAAATGAAACGGCAAAGAGATTCCAGATCACCTCTTTCTGCACGCTCCTGAATGCTCAGATTGAACTTCAATTTGGGAAGAAATACACCATCCATCAGATGACTAGAAATCACCACAGGGCCACAAGAAATATGGGAAAGCAAGAAAATACCCCTCCTCCTAGGAAAAATAATAGCTCCTCTTCATCCACAGACAGTTCAATGGAAATCATGGAAATGTCTGATAAAGAATTTAGAATATTCATAATGGCAAAGCTAACAAAGATGGAAGAGAAGAGAGACAATGAACTGCAAAACAGAAAGGAGAAAGGAGATGACAAGTTCCAAGAGGTAAGAAAATTCTTGCAAGATCTAAAATAAGAATTACACACTTTAAAAAAAGAATCAAATGGACTTGTTAGAGATGAAGGCAATACAG